CTCTTTTTGCATTTCCGATGAATGTTGCAGGGATTGTTTGCTTTTTGGGTCCCCCCCCATTTCCCATGGGTCTCGCAGGGTTTGTTTGCTTTTGGGGTTTTTTTCCCCCATTTCCAATGGGTCTCGCAGGGTTTGTTTGTGTTTTGGTTTGTTTGTTTGTTTGTTTGTTTGTTTTGCATTTCCGATGGGTCTTGCAGGGTTTGATTGCTTTTTGGGTTTTTCACCCCCCATTTCCGATGGGTCTTGCAGAGTTTGTTTGCTTTTTTGGTTTTCTCTTTTTGCATTTCCGATGAATCTTGCAGGGTTTGTTTGCTATTTGGGTTTTTTCCCTTTGGCTGGAATGGTTTAGTCACGTTTCCGATGCGTCTTGCACTATGGGGTTTTTTTGGGGTGGTGGTTGGTGATTCCCCCCCCCCCGGCCGGAATGGATTAATTGCGTTTCAGTCCATTCCTATTGGAAGTGGTGCTTTGACCTACAACCATTTCGAGTTACAACCATCTTTTGGAATGGATTAAGTTTGTGAGTCGAGGCACCACTGTAATCCAGACAGGATGTAACTAAGGTGCATGTCATGGTGGCCAGATATTAGAGATCTCAAGGAACAGGCACAGCTGGCACACCAGCTTTAACAGTGGAAATGCACTCCTAGCCACCACTGAAACCTGTGCATCCAAACTGAGGTTTGAGTTAAGGGGCATACCCAAGCTGTGGACCTGACTTTTCGGGGGGAGTGTAAGCCCATCCAGTTCAGGCCAAATACCTACCTCCTGATTTGCTTTGCGACTGACCAGGAACACCTCTGTCTTGTCTAGATAAAGTTTCAGTCTGTTAGCTGTTATCCAGTCCATCACTGACAACAGACACAGGATAGTTATCTGTCAGTAGCATGATGATGGCACCAAACTCCAAAATTCTGGACGACCTTTCCCAGCAGTTTCATGTAGATAAATGCACAGGAGCATTCATCTAATTGTGCTAATGGACTTGAAATTTCTCCCATAAATAGGAGGGAAGGTGACTTACAGTAAAACGATAGGAATGGTTAAAATGAGAAAAAGTATTTTTTTTAAAAAAAAAAAATTAAAACATGCAAGTAAAGGAGAAATACCACATCCATACAAGTAAAAAACTGCTTCTGCAACAACCATGGTCAATTGTCAAAGGCTTGCCTGAATAGAACAGTCTTTGTCTGTTGATAAAAGACAGCAGTTCTATTTTTGTGGAGTAGACAGTTCCTGAAATTCCATCTTTTCTGTTAATCATTTTCAGACGACGAATCTTCATTCTCGGGCCTTCCCATCATGTGCCCCTCTCTCGATGTGCACTTTCCAGTGTGGATATATATAGAACTCCTCTATATGATTTGAGAATTGATCAAAAAGGTATATAAAGAAAACAACACATAAGCAAATCAAGTTTCTGACCCATTATTCTTGTGGCTTCGCATTTGAATGGGCTCTGAATGTTTCCACTTGAAAAATTTAGCTCTGTTAATTTGATGCATGAAGTAGGATTATATATCAGCTAACATAGGCTAGTATCCCACAATATTGGCATGTAAGAGGTGGGTTTTTGTTTTGTTTTGTTAACTTTTGGTAACCTATTTTTTCCTAGGCTAATTTGAACATGTTGAAGCTAAAAATAATTGTTCTTAAGCCACCTTCTTGATCAGGAGCCCAGAATTCAGGCTAAATATTCAGGCTGGTGTCAATGAACTAATTTTTCCTGTTTTTATGGCTGTAGTTATACAGAAACACTCAAAATCTGAGCTGGTTGTTTCAGGTAGTCTACAAATATTATTTATTTTATTTATTTATTACATTTATAGCTCACCCATCTAGTCATATAGACTACTCTGAGCAGGTAACAACATATCAAATTAATGGAATATGTATGATGAGAGTCCCACAGTATCATTGTTGCTGTCCTTAAAGTGGTGTCAGTGATTTTCTTAAATTTTGACATTTCATTATAGGATATTTGACATTTTAGAAACATGGTGAAATGTCTTTATTTCATGAGGTATGTATATTGAATGTTGGCTGGTTTTATAGCCAGGTGTTAGGTAAAACCATGCTTAGGAGTATATGTGGTTCTGAGATGTGACTGCACCTGAATTCAAACAAAGTGCCCAGATTTTACATTTACGAATTCCAAACCTCTGGGATAAAAGAAATAAATATCCATAAATTATTGAATATAACTAGCTGTGTCTATCTTCCTGACAGATCACTTTGCAGATGCTGTGGTCTTGTCTGAGAGGTGCATGGTAAAAAGTAAGATCAAGAACACTGCATGTTTGTACATGTGCCATGTTGTTGCTTTGTTACAGTTGCAGCGTAGGAGGTGACATGCAATCCTGTAATAATGTTCCTTACTGGTCACATGAGCTTTATGGAATTAGTGATTGCTGGCTGTAGATGGTGTGGATTGGAACTTACCTCCTATGTTTTTCAACCATGGAATACAGCTTTTTTTGACATGGTGGACAGAAAAAGAAATATGTCTGTGATTAAGTGAAACTAGACATGGTATCAGCAGAGATGTTACCACAAGCACCACCACTCTAATATGTGCTTCATGTGGTGCCTGCAGTTGAGCTACATAGAGATGTAAAGTTTATGAAATTTTTCATTTTTTTCAGGAAAAAATAGAAAATTTCAGACATGTTTGCATCTCTAGAACTTAAATACATAAAGTCTCAGGTATTTCACATTATATAGTTTGAATATGATCTCATAGACATATTTTTCATTGTAAAAGAACATATTCCACACACCATTTTTTTCTTCATTTTTTTGGGGGGGGGGTAAAAATGGCTTTGGAAAAGCCACTTTCTGATTTTTTTTTCACAGTCTTCCATCTTTAGTGTTACATCAGAAGGCTGTTTGCTACTGCCTTTCTTTCATCTTCAAATCCTGTAGTAACAGCAGTGTATGACTGTAAGGTGACATGGCGAGAAAGCAACCAAAATCTTATTTTTTGCTTAGGTAGTACCTGGGAGGTTTTCCACTGTTTTGCTAGAGGAATGGTCATGTTGTCACTTACTTGTCCAGGGATGTTGTGGTTTCTGTTCATTACTGATAACTAATAGTCATAACTGATTTTTCCCTGTAGCTATCTAGCTCATAATTAGATCATTTGAACATTAGTTCTCTTGTGTTTTGCTTGTTGGCCAAAAATACCAATAAAATCCCCATATTTGTGTTCTTTGGTTGTACTTATCCAAAGAGATGGTTGTTGCCCATCAAGTCACTAGACAAAATCCTTGATGTGTTCCTCAGAAAGACATGAAGGCAAAACTCAATCCAAAGTCTTCAGCTATGGGTAAAACTGTAGTTTTCCCGCCTGTAAGGAGTAGTCCACCAGTTGGTTCAGACCCTTTAATTTTCAGCAGTTGTACCAGAGGTTTTCTTTATCAAACAAATGCTGTGCCACAGATTAAAAAACTACAGCAGTAACATTCTTTTGACATATTAGAAGAACATGGTAATTACATATTTCAGTTCTCTGTGAATGTGAAGAGAAACTTGTATGGATGAACTGAAATCTTTGGCATAAAATGGAAGAACATATGCAAGCAGTGTTTGCTGATCACTTGGTAAAATGGTTGCCGTGAAATCCTTTAGAAACCTTTCTTCCATGTCTTCCCTCAGCCCGTGCCTCAGATTTACTTACTCAGAATCCCCTCAGAAGGTCGGCCCAACTAATGATGTAGTCTGATACTTTTAGCACCCTCTGCTTTTTCATTACAATTCAAATTCAGGTACGTTTTTGGTGTATTAGTTCTGTAGTTCAAGTTTTGTAGATTTTGATGACTTTGATTGTTTACTGATTTGCCCTTGTTCAGCCATAAACATAAAATTAGTTCAAGACACCAGAATGGATGCCATCTTGAATTTTGGGCTTCCAAAACAAAAATTATGGAAAACCATTATTGCAGCATTTTCCAAGTGGAATATAATCAAAACCATTGAGAAAAACACTGTTTAGAATTTTGGTAGCAGGGAAGTTGACTGAAATACTTCAGTCCGTTTTCTTGAATTCTCAGCAGAACAAGAATTCAAAGCCCTATTGCCTTGTATTTGAGGGAAGATATTCATGTATGTGGTGTTGTCAGAAAAAGATAAGTTGACTAGTATCTCATGACCTCGGAACTCAGAAACCTTTCTCATAAAACAAAGTCTCAAGCAGAATTGAATTTAAATTGGTGATACCATCAACCACTTCTTGCAATTGTCCAAAGACTTTTGTGATTGCTATCATTCTGCCTTTTTGTTGTCTGCCACTTGTTGAAGCATTACAAGAACCCAGAATGTTGTTTTTCTTTGTGGTAGAAGAAACCTGTTTGGAATTTGTCTGGTTACATCATCTACTCATCCTTGACTGGCAAGTTTGATTAAATACAGTGATATGTAAATATCACCATTAGTGACTAAAAGAAAATATGGGAAAATGGATGGTCACAGAATGGCACAGGATCAATATCCCAATTCCAGTAGATGCCTTCTTATAAAATTGAAAGATATGTACATCCTAGCAACTTAAGTTTTTTCCATAGCTTGAATGTCATAGCTGACTTAATCCAAGGATAGGGAAAGCTCTTTTCTAAGCTTTGGGAACATAAGTAATTCTCATAAGCAAATATTTTCCAGTGTAAGATCTTTATTTTGGAATCACTTCCTATGCAGTGATCACTGTTAGTCTTGGTATATGAACACAGTTTTTCCTCATACAGCTTTGAAGTAAATGCTGTAATATAACACTTTTTGTTGCAGCATTCAGTTGAGCATTACACTGTCTCAGTTTGGTTTAAATGTCATCTACTCAGCTTGAGTTAAATGTAGAGTTCCTTGTTCAGTTTTTAGAACAATTGATTCTTTTAATCAGACTAATCTGTTTGAAACTTCTCAGTTTATGCAGAACTGTGGAAGACTGGAATGTTTGAACGCATGTCACTGCAAACGGACGAAGATGAACACAGTATTGAAATGCATTTGCCTTACACTGCTAAAGCCATGGAAAGGTATCTTGTTTAAAAAAAGATGCAAAGCCCATAGAATTGCTTAGTTTGGTCATTATCTGCTAATAATATCTATATAATTTGAGAGAATGGAATTAGTTTCCTACCACCTTGCTAACTTAGAATATCTAGGAATCCTCAAAATCCATAAAATTTAAATGCACAGATGTAATAATTAGGCATGAGGCTTTGTTTCTTATTTTGTTTTCCTGTCTTTACATAGCCAAGTTTGCCTGTTTTCCCTCCTCCTTCCTGTAGGATTTGGAAAACTGGCAGAAATCAAGGTCATGCACTGCCCAGTTTGCCTGGCTTAGTACTGCTGCAGGAAGCAAGTTCTGCTCAGCTGAGCATTTTGTCATGTGGGGATTGTTTGTGAAATTATATTTGTATATGAATCAGTCAGTGAAAGACAAATATCTTTACATAACGGTTTTAGTACAGGTTGCAGGAAAGTAATCTGTCTTAGATACTAATTATTCCATTCTTGATCCTAAATGCTTTCATGATGTTTCTTCCTTCATTGCAGTGCCTTACAATACTACATTGCTTCAGCATGAAGTAGTAATATCATTAGTTAGGGTATCCACTAATACTTGAGTAGTTCTAGTATACAGAAGAGAACTTTATTTGGTTATGTATAACCTGTCACATTTTTCGGGCTGAACTACACTATTTAGAGTATACTGGTAAAGTGCAGAGCCTTAAAAACAATCTTGGTGAACAATATGATGAAAAATCAAACTAGTATTTTGAAAATTGCACCAGTTGATTGAAGCATCTGAAATCATGATCCAACCCTACATATCCCATAGTGTGTGTGGTCCACCATGCATGTGTGAATGTAGCCTCTAGGATATGTTGCATGTTGGAAGCAGCACATATGTTGTTGTGTGCCATCAAGTCACCTCTGACATGCAGCAACCTGTTGAATGAGTAACCTCAAAATGTCCTATCATTAACAGCAGTGTTCAGCTCTTGAAAACTCAGGACTGTGGCTTACTTTATCTCATATTTGATCTTTCTCTTGTAGCAAATATGGTGGGGGGTTAGGATTAAGCAAACTCTTTATCATTGTTCTCTGTCTTTTTATAACTATCACCTCCCCCCCCCGCTTCTTTTAAGCCATAAGGATGAGTTTACCATTGTTCCTGTATTGGTTGGAGCACTGAGTGAAACAAAAGAACAGGAATTTGGAAAACTCTTCAGCAAATATTTAGCAGATCCTTGTAATCTCTTTGTGGTTTCATCTGACTTCTGTCACTGGGGTAAGTTAAACAGTGTTAATAGCTATGAATCTCTGTGATATGTATTTGTATGTACTCAGAAATGATACTTAAATTAAAATGTGTGATGGTTTGACAGACCTGTTTGGGCAAATTGTTGCTGAACTTGGTAGGTCTACACACTTGTGTAGTGACTCAATGGCAGCAAAGATACAATTGTCAAAGAATACATACAATTATTGTATGGCAGTTAGACTGCAAGATTGGTTTAGTATTTTACTAGTCTTTTACTCTTATGAACTGAATTGTCTAAAAGAAATGTCATATCAGTGTGAAGCACAGGGTTTCTTCCCATGATTGCTAACTAATAGTAAGGATTAATAAAAGCTAATTGAAGGTTGGATTGCTAATATATTTATGCGGGTAATTGTTTATATTTATTACAAATCTTTGTTTCTGTTTCTACTCAAGTTAGAATTACCAAGCTGCAATTATGGTTCAACGTTCAAGTATGCATTTTCTGCAAAATAATAACTATTTAATGCAACTTAGGCTAATTGTGCCAGGCTGCATGTCAGGTTCCAGTCTGGAAATGGTTTTAATGGTTCCCTTCCAGCAGTGGGTGCAGCCAAGGACATGGACCAGGGCCAAAGAAAAGTGGGCAGGGTCAGATGGAATTCTTGCCAATCTGGACATTTCCACCTAAAGCATACAAAGCACAGTTCAAATCTATTCTTGTCTGTTCTGGCAAAGGTCCCAGTGCAACAGCTTCCAGACCAGCAGAGCACAGATCAGGTTTATGCAGAACATTCAGTTTGAATACCCACTGGGCAAATTTACATATCTTGGGATCATTGTTAGGAAATAATAGCAGAAGAAGCTCACTGACTAGATGCAGAATCTGCAGATGCAATGTTTTTCTGGAGGTGCCCTATCACTGATTTAAATTATTGTATGGCAGTATTCTATTTCAACAGTGATAATCTATATGTGAGCTGGTATAGCTCAGTAGGTTTCATCAACTGGCTGAGGAGCCAGGAGCTGGGGGCTTGTGCTTCTTGGGAGAGGGCCAGTCAAGATTATCCAGACCATGTAAACCTGGTGAAATTATCTGCCTTGGAAACTGTGGCTGTGGGCAAATTGCCTGCTGAGATAGTGTTGTGCTTAATTTTTTGTTAATAGTTCTATATTAGGCGCTTAGTTACTTGCTCTTTCATTGATATACTTTTTTTTCTCTGAAGGGCAGCGGTTCAGATACAGTTACTATGATGAATCTCAAGGAGAGATCTATAGGTCTATTGAACACCTAGATAAAATGGTAGGTTTGACTGTGGGGATAACAGACATGACAAAAATGATTTGTAATGCCTCCACACAGTTAAGACATAGTTGGACTTGTCTAGAAATGGAGTAAGAACAAAAATTGGGGTGGAAAATTCCCATTATGAAGGAGCAAGGAAATAAAGTTGTTGGGCATTTTCATTTAGTGTCCGTAAGCTTATTATTATTTGAGGACAAATGTGCTACATCCTACATAGAGGTTATAAATGCATGTGGCAGCTATATTAGTGCTCATCTTTTCCCCCAGAGTTTTCTCTGATAGTTCATCAGATGTCTTGGTCACAAACTCTGGGTTATTTCGCTAAAATGTACAGTGGTGCCTCGCAAGACGATTGCCTCGTGGGATGATTAATCTGCAAGACGATGGGTTTTTGCGATCGCTGTTGTGCTTTGCAGGACGGTTTTTCCTATGGACGATTTTTGCAAGACGATGTTTGGGTCTATGCTTCGAAATACGGGGGGGGGTTTTTAGACCGATGCTTTGCAAGACGGTTTTTCTCCCCCATTGGAACGCATTAAATAGATTTCAATGCATTCCAGTGAGGAACCGCGTTTCACAAGACTGTGTTATTTTTTTTTAGACTGATGCTTCGGAAGACGGTTTTCCCCCCCATTGGAACGCATTAAAAAGATTTCAATGCATTCCAATGGGGAACCGCGTTTCGCAAGACAATGTTTTCTATGGATGATTTTCGCAAGACGATGATTTTCCCCCCATTGGAACGCATTAAATAGATTTCAATGCATTCCAATGGGGACCCGCGTTTCGCAAGACGATGTTTTCACAAGACAGCAATTTTCGCAGAACGAATTAACATCGTCTTGCGAGGCACCACTGTATATAGTCTAGAGATTAGTTTAACTTTCTCAGTTCAGGTGTGGGGAACCCTTACTTGGCAGGAAGTGCTAGCTCTGCTTTCATCTTCAAAGCAGAAATGCTGCTGCAAAATTTAAAAGTGCTTCATGATCCCTTTTAGACTTTAAAAGAAACTGAAACATCTAGGATGCAGCCTGTTTGGGGGCCCTTTTTAAGCAACCCCCTTCTACTGTGTTCTCCCAAAAATAAGACAGGGTCTTATATTAATTTTTGCTCCAAAAATGCAGTAGGGCTTATTTTCAGGGGATGTTTTAATTTTTTTTTCATGTACAACAATCTACATTTATTCAGATACAGTCATGTTATCTTTTTCTAATTGCTGCACAATGGTGGAGGGCGGGGTTTCACTTAACTGGGGAGTAGGATTCATATTACAAGCATCCTGAAAAATCATACTATGTCTTATTTTCAGGTTAGGTCTTATTTTCAGGGAAACAGGGTAATTATAGCATATTCTCAAAGAAAAATAGCTATGTATAAAGCTTACCTGTGCTCACAAGCAGGCCGTGGTTCCTGCAAGCACTAATGTTTAATCAAGTCCTCTGTGTGCCACAGACCTCAGAGAAAAGAGATTGTTTATATCATGTTGAGCTTTGGAGGAGATGGAAGCATTCCTAGGCATTGCTCCACAGTTTAGTGTACGGCATATGAACATGAGAAACCAAGGTAGATTGGTTTCCCTTGATTGTCAGCTAGCCAGAGGAAGGTTTGTGACAAGTATCATCAAAGTGTAACTTGCCTACTGTGTGCCAGGGACATAAACATCATCTGTCTAGATCGCTGTTTCCCAACCTTGGGTCCCCAGATGCTCTTGGACTACAACTCACAGAAATCCTGGCCAGCACAGCTAGCAATGAAGCTTCTGGAAACTTTTGTCAAAGAACATCTGGGGACACAAGGTTAAGAACCACTGATCTAGATAATGTAGAACAGGGGTCCCCAAGACCCAGTGTGTGGCCCCATGCTGGTCTGTGGGCTTCCTGGAAATGGGCCACAGAGATGGATCTCTGTCCCCTGCACACAGCACAGTGGACATGTCGCGCTTGTGGAGGGGTGTATCACGCTCGTGGGTGGGTGTGTCATGTTCTCGGGTGGGCCCCTCCACAAGCGCGACACACCCCTTCGCGAGCGCAAGATGCCCACCCATGGCATGGGGGGCCCTGTCCCCCCCATGCACGGAGCCCACACCCCCCAACCAGTCCGTGGTCCCACAAAGGTTGGGGACCGCTGAAGAGAGCAGAGCAGTCATGGTAGTTTACAGACACTAAGAACATTCAGAAATACAGCAGTGAGATTCTGGAAGAAATTTGTACCTTGCTTGATAAGACAACAGAACTTAGGATCACTATGGTATCTTCATTAGAAGTGCTACTGATTTGCCCTGTCATCAGTAGACTTTGATTGCCCAGTGCAATCTGATTATCAGTATGTGTGGGGATGGTGTGCGGGAACAGGTATCTTGCCCAAGTCTTACAGTTTTTACAGCCCTTGTCTTACAGAACTTTCAGACTTACAAATAAAACTCTTTTTGTTTGTAAGTTTGAAAGTTCTGTAAGACAAGGGCTGTAAAAACTGTATGGTGTATAAACAAATATTAACAAATTGTATTTTCCAATTCAAAGGCCCTGTACCTCTAAATATTAGATGCTGGGAACATACAGAGTGGGAGAACATGTCTTCATGCACTGCTTCAAATGGGACTACTCAAGTTGTGATTTGCTACACTAAAGTAAGCCACTGCTAGAGAAGGCCCATTTGAATCCATGGAATATATGGAGAATCTGACTTGCCAAATCCCTTCTGATTCAATGGACCCTCTCTGGTGCAATTTACTATGCTAAGCAACTAGATTTCAGCCAATTGTAAAATATGTTGTGGGGAAGCATGCTTGACATGAAACAAATGTTTCTGAATAAATGCAGCCCTTGTATCTTTAGAGTTAATCATATATTGATTATTCTCTTTAGGGTATGAGCATTATAGAGCAGCTTGACCCTGTGTCCTTTAGCAATTACTTGAAGAAATACCATAATACAATATGTGGAAGACATCCAATTGGTGTTTTACTAAATGTAAGTTCCAGTATAAGAATCTGAATGCAGCAGTTCTAAATGTATACGATCTCATCCTTGTTTCCTGGGCTTGCTACTTTGACTTGTGGGAAATGTTCCAGGCATAATGTGACAACCTAGAAGGTTACGTCTATGAAGGATGCGTATAATGACATGCTGAAGCCATTCGTAACAGTACTCTCCTGCCCCTTCTAGGAATGGCAATTCTTAAAATTTTTTTTGCTAAAAATAGTACAATTTTTGTCAGGATTGGTCTGTCCCATCCCACTGGGCAGGTGGACATGTTGTCCACCCTTACTATAAATGTTGCCAGGATGAAGATGGGGGCTACATGCCTGCTAAGGTCATCTGGTGTATGCTTTCCCTTGTCAAAAATAAGAGTCTTTCTCTTTGACATAGAGTTGGAATTTGAAAAACTGAACCAAGAAACATTCAGAACCTTACATAAATCTGCAAATCTGTACAGTATTTGTTTCCTTAGTTTACACAATCTGTATCTACTAAGCATGAGGTAACACTGCTGAGTTGTATGGAGCCTGTGAGTTCTGCCCTGTGACTGCTTGCTAACTCCCTCCAAGTTATCCCTGGCATTGCCCCTCATCAAAGCCAACTTAGAGCCATAAGGCTTTCTGGGATGCTTAGGATCTGGATGTTTGTGGCCAATATGAGACCATAGGGTGGTTCTGCACTTGCATGGAATTGTGAGATACTGGCTAGCCTGCCTGCTAACCTCTTCCACAAACTCCTGGAATACCTTACGACTTATTGTGGTATGTGATACAAAAAAAGCATCTATGAAACTCATTTCTTCTCAGCGGTGAGGAAAATGCAAATCTGTTCCTTAGAGCAGGTGTGACTGAGGTCCTTAGCCAAAGCCTGTAGCTCTTTTACAAAAGTTTCCTTTTACTTGAATCTTTTTCTGCCAACACCTTTGCTCACAATCCAACAATTTACTCACTTACTTCACGGTCTGTGCAGTTATTCTGTCCCCCAAAGTTCTGGACATTCATGTCCTTTTCACAGTCGGGAGGAATGGATGGAAGATGCCAGAGTGTTTCTAAAAGCTCCTTTGTAATAATGCATTGTTGTTGCTTTTTCCACCTTCCTCTCTTTAGGCTATCACAGAGCTCCAGAAGAATGGAATGAACATGAGCTTCTCATTTTTGAATTATGCTCAATCAAGCCAGTGTCGAAACTGGCAGGATAGCTCCGTGAGTTATGCAGCAGGAGCACTGATGGTCCACTGAACCTCTGACTGCTCAGGGATGACACCTGCACACGCAATGGGGTCCCAGCCTTGCCCTGACAAAGTTCCTGGTCTTTGGGTATACTGAAACCTCAAACTAATAGAACTCTTCTTTTTTCTAGTAGGTGTAGTCCTTCCTTAGTTACAACTCATTTTAAAATGCTTTCTTGTTTAGGACAAGGGAAGGAAGGCTGGTCTCAAAATGTTGTGACTTCTAAAAACCAGTGGCTATAAAGGTATGGTGCCAGACAGTCCTTGCAGATACAACATGTAAAGCATTTACCACATCCCAGATTTGCACTCTGCAGACCTGTGCACATTTACTCTGCTTTCAGGATAGTTTTGCAAGTTGTAAACAGAAAAGGGTGGAAGCTTTTTAATAAAGATGCATTTATAAAAGAACCTGTATTAGAATATAATAAAACTCCAGTGTAGTCAGTTACTACCCGTGTTGTACAACAAATATCTTCTATTTTAGTTGCTAATAAAGGGCTGCACAAACCAAAATGGTGGGATGTCATTTCCTTGAGTGGCGTACTCCATATATATATAAACTCTCTTGTTCCGCTGGTTGGCACAGGTCTTCCTATTCCACTTAAAGCCAAACACCCCTCCTAGTCAGAAAGGGTCATCCCCAATATGTACAGTCATTGATCTGAGGTAGCTAGGATTCCCTTCTTCCCTCCCAGTTGGTACTGCCAGGAATTCCTGAGAAAAACCTTTGTTTCCTCTCTCTCTATTTGGGGTGGAGAAGTGACACTTAAGTGCTCAGTCAACTTTCATGAGTTGTTTGATGTGCTTGCTTCTTTGTCCTTCCTTCATGAGGAAGAGGCTGGAGGTTGTTAGGGGAATTCCTGGTTCTTGGGAGAAGTGTCAGGTTCAAAACCTTCATCTGGTGTTTCAGCTACTACCCCAGTAGTTACAGAAGGCATGGTTGTATCTTTCATATCATCTAAGCCGCTAGGAGCTGTAGGGGAGGGGAGGGATCCAGGCCTTCCAATTTCTATTTCTTAATATGTGTGAAATCTTCAGTTTTAGCATGTATTGGGGATAACTTGCCCATTGTGTGCCAGGGGTATAAACATCATCTCTCTAGATCAGTGTTTCCCAACCTTGGGGCCCTAGATACTCTTGGACTACAACTCCAATAATCAGTATGCAAAGCAGCTTTCATAGGACAACTGTACAGCCTTCCATAATCTGTTAGCATCCTGTGACATCGTTCTTCTGAGCTTTGTCTAGATTGAGACATGCCATTCAGATCTAGGTGAACTTGTAGCATTGTTTTTAATTTCACAGTAGGTAAATTCTGTATAGCTTAAAATGATAGGAGATGTGACTTCATTTTTTAAAAAATCCATTGCTAACCTGCCTTGATAACAAAAATCATTCCTGCTCACTTTCACCTTTGATGGAAGAAACATTTTGCTAAGCTCCTGGTACTGAAAGCTAGCTTGATGTTTTTACAGAGAAGGCTAAAACATTATTTATTTATTTATTTATTTATTTATCTATCTATCTATCTATCTATCTATCTATCTATCTATCTATCTATCTATCTATCTATCTATCTATCTATCTATCTATCTATCTATCTATCTATCTATCTATCTATCTATCTATCTATCTATTTATTTATTGTCATTGTAAGTACTGTATTTTTTGCACCATAAGACTCACTTTTTTCCCACAAAACAGGGGTGTGGAAAGTCTGTGCGTCTTATGGAGCTAAGAAAACAGATTATATTTTCCTGTTTTCTTCTCCTAAAAAATTGGTGCGTCTTATGGAAAGGTGCGTCTTATGGAGCGAAAAATACGGTATATACACAGTATACCCATACAATGAAATTCACAGACACCCAGAGACCAGACACATGCACACACATAAAATTCCCCCAACACTCCCCACCCACTAAAAGTCCCCACTAAAAATACAAACATCTACACCGCAGGCCAAGTAACACAGTCCAACTAACTATTCACTACTGGTGGTCTTTAAGCTCATTATTAAGTGCAATTATAGCTCTGGGATAAAAACTAATCATGTTTTTCTAAGGACACACCACAGAGGTTCTTCAGATTAAATCAGTGGCACATCTCTTCTGCTAATATATAAATATAATGCTAGTTGTATAGATTTTTCAAGCAGTTTGAGAATTTTTAAAATCCTGTTGTTTGTTTAAAAAGAGCTCCAGGGTGTGTGTGTTTGCTCATGTGCATATTATTAGTCCACAGTTCAGTACATGTTTCAAAGTTGGATATGTAGCTCATAAGGTTCAAAACACAGAATAGCATTATGGGGTACCAGAAATGTCCAGTTTGATTTGACTTGTGGAATTTTATATTCGAAGGCTGGAGAGATGTTTACAGGAGTTAAAGAAACTAGTCTCTCTGCCTAAGTAATTCAATATACTGTACTTGTTTGTCCTGACAGTTACCTCAACATAATATTAAATCTTAACTGCCTCTGCAATTTAGTTGTGGTAAGCTTTGTCTTACCACATTTTTAGGGTCTATGTTCTTCAGGCATTTGGTCCCTTATTCTAAAGTGCTTATAATAAAGCATATTGATTTGTATTAATATGGGTTCCTTACAGAGTTGTCTACAAACCCAACATCTGAATAGGTGTTTGCATATCGGAAATGGATTGAGTTGAAAGTAAACAAACTTTTCTCTATACCAGAGATCAATAGGATTCCTAATTCTTCAGTTTAATGGGCCTACAGTGTCAGTCCCTTATTACCTTCAAGGTATAGACTTTGGAATGTGTTTTGTACACACAATTGATATTTTCAAATATTTCAAAGGAGTGGTGTTCATCTGTTGCAGGAGAAACAGAGGCTGAAGACTGTTTTATCAAGTTGGGCCTTCCATAGTAGCCAAAAGCCTATTTTTCTCCTAAAGTAGAAGAGAACACCCTTGCCATGGGTTATCCCTCCCATTTGCTCTGGTAGGCAAGGCTTCACAAATCAGATGTGCCTTTGCTATCCTCCAGTGTGTGAAGACAGCCAAGAACTCCAGTATAGTTCCTGCCTCTGGTCTCATAGATGGTTGAATCTAGTTCTCTTCTACATTGCATTTCCTTTATTCAGTCCTCATCCTGATTCCATAGTGCTATTCAAGCAGGAAGAGGACAGTTTTGGCTTTTCTGCTGACTTGCTTACAGTTACTACAGATGGTTGGGGGGGCACTATAGTGAATCTGTATACCTTCCTTGGCCCACCATGGAGAAAATTGCAAGCAACTATGGCACCAACTCTTAGTGTCATAGCAGAACTCAAAAGCACTATCTTTCAGGTCCTCAGGATTGGAGGCAACAAGAGGAATATCTGTGAGGTTGAAAACCAGCAGGGGGCAACATTATCTCAGCCACCAATTACTGAGTAGCATTCACCCAGAGCTTTATTCCTCAATAAAGCTGACTGTAGAAAGAGAGACTGGATCATTGCAAACAATGCTCCTATAAGTTAAGTGAAATGGAGGAGAAAGAAAGGAGGTGGGTATTCCTGCACTGGTTCCACACTGAGAGCTTGGTCACGCTACCGATTTACATCAGTCTAAGTCCTGATCTTTTTTATATCGATAAAGTCACACAGTATATTGATCTGTATGTGCCTTCACTTTGGCTTAGATTACTTCAATGTATTTCTGGTAATTAAAACTAGTTTAGGAAACTACACTGGAATTATCTCAATTTCCATTCTGTTTGAAGAGCACAATCAGTTTTTTTTAAGTAAGTCATACATTGCTAAATTGATGGCGCCACCTGGTGTCATATACGCAAGCATGGTGACCCAGCTGAAAAAATATGGTTTCCTCAGCTGAATGGAGAGAACAGCAATGGTGTTTCTAACATTGAACATATTGATAAAGTGATGCAGTGATAAAATCTTGACAACAAAAATGTATATGCAGTTACACTTCACTAAGTAATATATCACTAAATATTTTTTTAAAAGTGGTGGTGCCCCCACCACTCTAAATCCACATTGGCACAAATTAAAATGACAGCAGCACTCAAAACCAACACTTCAAATTGAAATGAATCAGTTTTGAAAATGAGGTACAATATTTTAAAAAGCCCCTGCTGGCCAGTTTTTTTTTAAATCGCTTTGTAGCCCAAATAAATCAAGTTTACTCATGCATCTTGTGCCCAGGAATTTATAAGTTGATTTAAACAATGCTAAAACTGAGTCAAATGTGGTTCTTATTGCCACTGTGACCGAGCCCTGGGAGCCTTCTGTCCTTTCTTCTGTTGTATTTAAGCAACAGGAAAAAGAATGGAGTCCCTCCTTTCCCCTTCTCTTGGAGGTCATATTTTCACTCCACTTTGGAAGAAAAAAGTCCCCAGTGATGGACAGTATAGCAGGTACCATCTTGATTCTTCAGTACATGCCCCCCCCCCAAAAAAAAGTGAAGAGAAAAGTGCAATTTTGAAGCACACAGCAGGCCTGTTTGCCATTATCCCCCAATGAAAATGAAAATGTTCTGTTAAAACTTAACATGATAGTGCTTCTTGGGAACTGGAGAAGTCCCTTTCCTACCTCATTCTTTAGATGGAAGAGAAGCTTTGAACTCATTTAGCACTTCCATGCCTGCTAGTAAAGATGAGGGACAGCTCTCAAAGGAAAGGGATAAAGGTAAAAATACATCTTCCTTGTGGATGTTTTTTTTTCTGTTGTTAAGAAGAGCCATCCAAGGTGCTGAATCTTAAATGTCCTGAGGCACAGTCAAAATCTGTAGGTCCTGATTTATTAAAAGGATCAAGGGAAAGCTTTAAAAGAGTAGCCAGTCCTCCCAGGATTTTCCATCCTCTGTATCTTTTATATCTAATATTAAATGAAAAATATGCTGGATAGCACAATGGTTTAGGTATCTGGATGCAAAGCCAGAGGCTGGGAGTTTGATTCCCCACTGTGCCTCCAAGGAGGAGAGCCAGCTTGTGTGGTCTGGGGCAAGCTGCACAATCCAAGGAATAATTTAAAGAGCCACCTCCAGCCTACACACCATCTACAATGTTTAGATCATAGACAATCAGGTGGGAAAGATATACAACCCTGGGACAAGTATCCAAGTTACATATATCAATTTGTGTGGTTCTGCATATTAAAAAGACCAACATTATGACCTTGATAGTCATTCATGAACTAATGATAACCATAACAGATGGTGTCTCATTGGCAAACTCTCATACCAGGCTATTACAAAGGTTCCCCACCAGATAGAGATTAAAGATCATATGAAAGTATGATCAGGTGCCTCTGCAAGTAAGTTTAAGTGATGGATGACCTCAGCTCTAACACAGGGCAATTTGGTGCCACTGTCATCTAATAGTGACATTAAGAGAGTCCTCAAGGGCATATAGATACCCTTCATAGAAATCATGTACAGTGCTGAAGGCTCTTGCTAGTGCCCCAGCTAAGTCACTGTGGAAGGTAAGATTTAAATATCTCTCCTGGAAACTTCATTTTTTCTGCACAACCATTACTTTAGCTCAAAGCATTTC